CTTCCATCGCATGCAGAAAAATAATTTTAAGCTTGTCTTGCCCAATTGTTAAGGTCCATCCATGGTCTAGTGCAGCTTTACTTGAAAGAAGGAACTGTGTGAAACTTGTTGGTTTTGTCTGAATAAATAAAAATATCTCCCATGTCTGCCTTCGATAATTGACTTCCATACAACATCTTTGTTTTCTAGGTATTCCTCCTGATCAGCAGCGTCTGATCTTTGCGGGAAAGCAGCTGGAAGATGGACGCACACTCTCAGACTACAATATCCAGAAAGGTATGGTGCTTACTCCTCCTCCACTTAGAGAAGGTTGTCAATTAGCCTTGGTTTGTTATATGGGGCATCCTATTTACCAGAAACACACATACAGATCAGCTGAATTTAAGACAGTTTCAGTGCCTCTTCCCTCTAGAAAGAGCCCCTTGCAGCTAGTAGAAAAGAGGGGGCTTTTATTTGTAATTTAAATATTTTAGGCAATCCCAATCTTGATGGTTTCCAAAGGATGAATACAAAAATGAATTTGCTACCATGACAGTTGAAACGAGAGTCTCGTTTCTGACTGTAGACTCCAAGATACAGTCAGCTATTGAGGTGTGCTGAAATTTCCACCTACTTGATTTAACATTCAAGAATAATGTTGCTTAGGGACGACAAGTTAGATCATGGGCAGGATAAGTGGATACTCCCATTGACCTTGCTGCGTTTTCTTCTGAGAATATTTAAATATTCCTGTTTTTCACAGGATACTCATTATCGTCAACATAGGGCAGGGGTGACTGGCAAGACTGAAGGATGACAGAACGTCCTGTCTGGCAGGGAGCTTGGCTAGCGACTGCAGTGTTTCTGTTTGTCCAGCTGGCTGTGATTTCACTGTCGATCTCCAAGCTCACTGCCAGAAAAAGATACTTTCTGGCCCCGGATACTTTGCAGAGCTTAGTATGGAACAATTGAAGGACATTTGGGGTTCCATGTTCCCGGGGTTTCCAGTTTCTCCTTGGCTTCTGGTGTGTCTGGTTTCTAGAATGGCAGATCCCAACTCTCCCCTTTGCCAGAGCTGCTGCAAACCTTAGTCCCATGCCATTAATCTTGTTTCTATCTTTCTCCCCACCGAAGAGTCCACCCTTCACTTGGTTTTGCGTCTTCGTGGAGGAATCATTGAGCCTTCGCTCCGCCAGCTGGCCCAGAAGTATAACTGCGACAAGATGATCTGCCGCAAGTATGTCCCCTGGGGTGCGCGGGCGGTTCCAGGAAAACGGTGCAGGCTCTTATAGTCCTCAACTTACCGCCCAATCGTTTTTTTCCAGGGGTCATTAAGCAAATCCATTTTACTCAATGGGTGGGTTTTTGTTTTTTTTGCTGGAAAACACGATCATGTGGCTTGGGTTGCTGTGGCGTAACTTCAAAATCAGACATTGAATAGCTTTTTGGGGAGGTTCGACATGATTTTGGATGGTCGCAAGTCAAGGGCTGCCTGCATTTTTACAGCTTAATTACAATAGCTGTGACAAAAAGTGAAAGGCAGTCATTTTTACTGTACTTCGGTTCGGGTTCTGGACAACACCTTCATCAGTAAAATCATTCGTTTTTAATCTTTATTACGGTTATAGAGCAAGTCAGTAAAATAATCTTGTTAGGGTATGTTTTTCCTACCTTTGTATCTTTTGCAAACCCATAACATTATACAATCCAAAGGTGAAAGAGCAGTCAACTACCGTCAAGAAAGCGCTCTCAGCCTTTCAACGGTCAGCTCCATGACACTCTGAATTCACCCACCCTGGTCATTAACATCTGAACCACTATAAGTCCATGTATTTGCCATACGCTAAATAAAATAAATATACAATCCAAGCTTAATTTCTTGCTCCTGATAGTGGGCAGAAGTTGCTCTCTAGAAGATTCTACTAGGGAGTGTGAACAATGAGGCATCTTGTTTATTTCCAGCATTCAATTCTAGGTGGTAGATTGTAGGGTTGCCTCAAGCATTTCAAATTCAAAATGCCCCATTTTATAACTTTTATAGTTGGTGGGAGTTATATATTGCAACATATAAATCTCCTCTTCCTCCTCCTCCACTTCCAGAAATGCTCTGAAGTTGAAATGGTGTTGTTTCAACTTTGAAATAAAGACCCTTGGAGCTTGAGGGCAGTTCCAGGATTAATACAGCGCTGGAATATTTCCAGTGAGGTCCAGATAAGCCATTTCAAACTTAATTCAAAAACAACTACTGGCAGGTTACTTTCGAACACAGACCTTGCATTGTGTAGTGTTTGTATTATCATGCAATAAATAAAGATGGTACGCATTTAGGACAGGCGTGCAGAAACTAAAAAAAAGTATCTTACTTTATTTTGGAGTTCATTTTCTCTCAGGTCTGGCCAGATAAGTCAGGGATGAGCAGCTTGGGTCCAGCACCAGTGGGAGGACCACAGTTTACTTAACTTTAGCTTGAAAGTGTGGGTCCCTCTCCATTGGTTCATCTGTGTCACACCAAGGCAGGAGCAGTTTCTGCAATCACAGTTCGTCCCCAGGTGCAAAACTGGAAGGTCCAGATGCTTAAGCCTGTGCCAGGGACACCAGTAACAAGACCTCCTCTTGGGGTTGTTTTCCCTCCCCCCTTTCCTTCTAGATGCTATGCCCGCCTGCATCCCCGTGCTGTGAATTGTCGTAAGAAGAAATGTGGCCACACCAACAACCTGCGCCCAAAGAAGAAGGTCAAGTAAAAAGAGCATGGCGGGAACTTCTCCTGGTACCAGGCTGTGGTGTACCTTAAGCAACGAGATTCATCTTCCCTCCTCTCGTGGGAGGCCATTTTCCCCCTGCCAGTTGGAATAAACATTCAGTGCACCAAATTTGTGTCTCCCTCTTCATTTTATGCCTGAAATCGCAGCTATAGGTTATCTGCAAGGCCTCCAGATGGTAAAAGAGATAAAGGGAGTGCTTTACTTATTGTCATGCCCCTGTTGGAGACTGACTCTGAGGGAGAGGAGGAACAGCCGACAAGGGAGTGCAGGTGTGGCTCTGGAGGTTGTGGAGGAGACTGGGGAAGGGCAGAAGCCGGCTGGGCAGTCAGAGGAAGAGCCAGACCCATCCCTTCTCCATCCTAGGGCACACAGGGGGAGAGGATAAGGGAGAGACCATGGTGTGGTCTATGGGGGAAAAGGCCCATAGGAAAGGGCCTTGATCCTCTTTATGGGCTGCAGCTGTGAGAACTGGTTAAAAGGACAGGCGTGTATGGGCCAGTGCTGGAAACAAAGTGTGGAAATACGTCGTTCCTGTCTGAATTTGGCATCCTTCCCAGTGTGTGTTCCGATATCTGTGGACGTTTTCAAGCCCTTATCTTGCCTGGTTTCCTTAATTGCTTCAGTATAGTTTGTTGTTTTTACTCTTTATAATCTATAGGCATTTTTAGTTTAAACGGCATTTCCTCCTTTTCGTAACTGCTTGTGGGGGAGTTTTTTGTCTCCAGTCAAGGATATTTGGAGCTTGGAAGCAAAGTGAAGGAATAAAAGGGGCTTCGCCTATTTTTGTGACTATTTATTTTGTATCCCACCCTGGGTCATCACACTTATGATCAGTTACTTAGCAACTGTTTTAAGTTACAACAGACCTCCCCAGAGCTATTTCTGATCCAGACTCAAAGTTATAATGGCTCTCCTTCACAGCCTTACCACCCTTGTGGTCACATGATCACATTTTTGGGCAGTTGGCAGTTAGCCCTCTTATGGTTATTTGTGTCATTTGGTAGTCACATGACTGCAATTTACCACATTATTTCCAGTGCACTGATGATGTTACCGAGTTGGGTAATGAAACGTCTGCAAGAAAACCACCAGACAGCACTAAGAACCCCACAGGAAACTGATATTCAAGGGGGGGGGGGGGGATAAGGAGTATGGGGGGCCTTGGGGGGGGGGGGGGGCCGGGGGGGGGGGCTGGTACAGGTTGCAGGTGAGAGTCTCTGCTCAAAGGCTGAAAATCTTCAGATTTTGGCTGGGAGATTTTAATTTCTTGAGTCGAGTTTCTGAGGGTCTTCCCTCCCCCCCCCAACTGAGATATCCCACGTCCCTTACCTGGAATTCTGTCTGCTTAACGACCACAACTGAGAATGCTGAGATTGAAGTCAGAGCAGATTGATCACATGAGCCATAATGTTGACATCTCCTTAATAACCACAAGATCCTGGCCTCCATAGTGATCGTAAGTCACCTGTGGGTGGATAAAAATGCCAAAATGTCGAGACATGACTGGCTGGTTATACAAATAATAGTAATAGTAACAACAACATAATAAAAATATGAATATTTGGATGCTTTTATTCAATGGGCGGAGGAGCTGAAGTGCTAACGAGCCATATATATTGTTTCTCTTATTCTTTTATTTTTTCTTATATGTACCCATTTCATGTATTCACAACCATGTATACACTTATACTTATTATCTTGTAAACAATTGGAAAATCAAATAAATAAATAAATAATAAATATATCACGTTTGCTAGCCATCCGCAGCCAGCCTGTTTCTAAAGCCAGATCAACGATTTGTCATGAGTCCGCCTGGCCGGCAGGGGGCAACAGGGAACCCTTTTAACAAAGATTCGGGCTCATACGGGTTAACCCGGAAGGAAGAGCAGATTGTCTAAGAAGAACGTAGACTTTTAAGGCAGAAGAGCTCATCGCTTGTTTTGCTTAATCGCTTTCAAGATAGTTTATTCCTTCCTTCCCAGGGAAGACCGTGAACTCCTTGACTTGGAAGATTTAAAGCCGTGACATTGAAACAGCAGTTCGGGAAATAAATCATCTCCTTTTGAGCGCCATTCTCATTTACTGAGCAAACATCCCTTTAAAAGCAGGACTCTCCAACCTTGGCAACTTTAAGACTTGTGGACTTTAACTCCCAGAATTCCTCAGCCAGCTTTGCTGGCTGAGGAATTCTGGGAGTTGAAGTCCACAGGTCTTTTAAAGCTGCCAAGGTTAGAAAGCCCTGCTTTAAAAAGCCACGTGGACATTCCGCTATGTTTCGCATCTGCACACCGTTGGCCGCCGTTGTGGGCGTTAAACAGTTAAAGCGACCAAGCCTGAGCAGGTGCTCAAAGAGTTCCTTAAAGACAGAGGGGGTGGGGACCCAATCCCATTTGGAGAATTCAAAATAGCCTCGTCGGTCTTCGGGGCTTGCCAAATTGTTAGGTGGACTCCCCTGCCAGAGCTGGGTTAAGTAAGTATCTCTGATTTTTTTTCTTAATATTTAGAGGGGTGTGACGCTGCAGAGATGTGAAGTTACACGATTTCCAAGCTAGAACCCAGAGCAATATAATATATTTCGATCATATTGCAAAGTCAGTATCGTTCTCTGCTGCTCCATCTTGCCCCACAGAGCGGGGAGAAGGATTGGCATAAATATTGCAGGCAATTTTTGGAAGAAATGTCCATCAAGTTCCAAGTGGGAAGAAAGAAAGACACTGGAAACATGGAGGCTGATTGGAAAGATGGTTTAATGGTGAAGCAGAACCACCAAGCACGTGTGATTGTGGATAGATGACCACGTGGAGTGGAGAGGAGAGTGAGCTATATTTATACCCTCTGGTTGGGCTTTGAACTTGCTTCCTGTTCCTATGACAAGAAATGCATCCTGATTGGTTATCAGACTTCCATGGGGCCATGCAGTGGTAACTTTGTAGGTTGTCTATGTGCTAAGTGAGTTTGAAACTTGCTGGGTGGTGCAATGAAGCAAATCAAATGTCTTTGCCTGAAGGTGGTAGAACTTTGTTATGTAGAATAGATTGGCCCAGGCCTTAATGGCCCATTAAAACAAAAGGGGGAGAAGGGGAGTTTCTGACTCTCTGAGTTTCTACTTCTCTTTTAGGGGAAACATTCTGCCATTTTAATATATCCTGAAATATTTCATTTTTCTAGGAGAGGGGTGGGTTTTAACTCCCAACACATTCATATATGCATTTTATCTTGACTGCTTTCAGTGCTTCTTAAGCCTGTAAAATGGGGTTCACCGGAAGTGGCACCAGTAGTGTTATTTATATAAAACACCACCACACAACGTAACCAAGAAATTCCAGTTGCTTCTTGAAAAAGCACCTTTGGGATCACCACATAACGCATTAAACGACATTTGCATATAGTCAGATCCTCACGTGTTGGAAGGATTGCCGAGTGATGTGTGTGGGATGGATTGTTTGTAGCCAGGGTTATGTCTGCTAGAAACCTCGATCGATTGGATTACAGAGTTTCCAATTTTTAAAAATCATTTTATGGGGTGTTTCCTGATTGACAGCAACAACTAGGCAACTTTATTATTATTTTTTGTCAAAACATGTACAAGATAACAAGTACAGATATGAACATAAACATGAGCAAAGGAAGTAAATACAGATAAATGAGGACAGTAAGACAGGGACTGTAGGCAAGCTGGTGCACTTATGCACGCTCCCTTTAAGGACCTCTTAAACTTGAAGCCGTGTGGCCTTCAACTCCCATAATTCTGCAGGATGGTCAGCCAGCTGGGGAATTCTGGGAGTTGAAGTGTCTTCAAATTGTCAAGTTTGAGAAACACCACTCTATAATTATTTGTAACTCTAGTTTAACCAGAGTTTAAACAGAATGGGTGTCAGTCTGTGCTCCATTCAAAATCCAAGAAAGAAATACTCAGACTCCATAGGTTAGAGCAAAGTTTTTTCTTTTACTGAAAATCAAAGTGGAAGCTACAGGTTGAATTCTGAATCTAAAGAATTTGGCGCGCAGATCACATATACAAAGGGATGGACTTGTTCCCACCCCCAAAGTCCAAAAGACTCTTCCAATTAAAAGTTCTGAATATGATCATGTGGGCATCTTCAGGTGGTGATGAGGCCTCTGTCCGTTGACCTTGACATATTTTGATAAAATTTCGCAGCTGCGCAAAGGAAAGAAAAAGCTATGCAAGGAAATAGAAACTTAAGAACAGGAATTTATACTTCCCCTCCTCCTTCCCATTTACAGCATAGGAATGTAACACCTCCAGCTTTCTTCCCCTCCAATTCCCCCTCCCCCCGTTACTAATGACAGCCGAAAGATGGAGAATAGTGAGAAGGATGCGTAGCAGTAGAAAAGATGTAGGAAAAAAATGTAGAAGAGATCTTGAAGGCTGACATTGGGTTTGATCCGCTTGCTGCAATGGGGGACAAATGAGGGTCATTGCAGCAGAGGCTCAAGGGAGGTGTGTGTGTGTGTGTGTGATTTGCAACTGAGTCCCCTTCATTAGAAACAGAAGGTTCCAGCAGCTGCATGACGACTCCTGCAAAATAAATAAGTAGGTAAATAAAACAAGAAAACAGGTGGAGGAGAAAAATAGAAAACCATGGAAGACGGGAGCAATGCTCAGCTAACCCGGCAATGCCCACAAGGGGGCGCAGGAGGACTAGAAGTGAAGCCTTGAGGAAGTTGGGAAAGAGATGAGAGGAGAAATTCTGCAGGGCATTTTTGACTGGTGGGGTTCCCATCTAAAGATGTTAAGACTACAGGCCCCATCATCTACAGCCAACAGAGTCTCCCCCTCCCCCACAATCACTCTAAAGAGTACAGAAGGATTTAGACCTGGGCACAGGTTGTCCTCGATGTAACGACCAGCGAGACGTTGGTTAAGTGGGACTTGCCCCATTTTATGGCCGTTCTTGCACAGTCGTTGAGTGAATCACTGCAGTTGTGAAGTTAGCAACATGGTTGTTAAGTGAATGTGGCTTCCCCACTGACCTTGCTTGCTCAGAAGGTCACAAAAAATGATTTATGTCAGGGGTCCCCAACCACTGGGCCCCGGAACGGTACCGGTCCGTGGAACATTTTCTACCAGGCCACCGGTTTGCTGGGCGCCGCCATCTTGTTTCGATGAGAAAGTGCTTCCGGTGAGCTTTTCCGGTTGGAAAGCGGCGTTTGGGTCCTGAAGGAATTCTCGTGCCTTAGTTTCATTGAAGGGGTGGGGGGAGCGCGGCTTCGAGCAAAACTGAGGCGCGAGGATTTTTTCAGCACCCAAGGCAAGGCGAGCCGAGCGACCGTCCCGAAGCCGTCCCGAAGCCCATCGACAAAGGTACAAAGGAGGAGTTGAAGGTGGCGGGGAGAAGCGGGGGACGGCTGGCTGGCCGGTCGCTCGGCTCGCCTTGCCATGCGTGCTGATGCCGGTACCGGGCCGTGGATCATTTTGTGATGCCAGTACCGGGCTGTGGCACAAAAAAGGTTGGGGGCCACTGATTTACGTGACCCTAGGATGCTGCAACCATCATAAATATGAGGCAGTTGCCAGGTGTCTGAATTTTGATCACCTGGATGGCCTGCTACACCACTTTGCCGTCCAAAACGGGGTGCAGGCAGCTGCGCACTCCCCCCAGTGCGGTGGCCTCGAGGTGGAGCTCTCGCCTCACAATCAGGTGGCTGTGAGTTCGATCCTAGCAGGGGGTTGGACTAGATGACCTCCAAGGTCCCTTCCAACTCTGTTTTTCTATATACATGCCCCGTTTTGGCCCACAGACTGCTACAGGAGGCCATCTACACGCAGCCCCTCCACTCCCCCCCAGCTGCCCATTTTGGCTGTTGGAGGCATTGCAGGCCAGTCCTTTGCCACGCAGGACAGATTTAAGCACCTCATGGGCCCGATCCAGCCCACAGGTGTTGAGTTTGACACCCCTGGTATAGGTGGTCCCTCTCTCAATAGCAGTAACTGTGAGACGGATCTTGGAGTCCTAGTGGACAATCAGTTAAATATGAGCCAGCAGTGGGCTGCAGCTGCCAAAAAAACCCAACACAGTTCTGTCCTATTCCATTCCATATTTCTATTTCTATTATTTCTATATTCTATTATTTCTATTTATGTTCTTTCCTACCCTTACCTCTACCCCTATCCCCAGGGGTGGGATTCAAAAACTTTAGCAACAGGTTCTCTGCCCGGTTGCTGGGTGGGCGTGGCCATGGTGGGCGTGGCCTATCCAGCCTCCTGGACCTGGGGGGCGGGGAAGGTTGCTCAAGCTCCGGGAGGGCAAAAATGGCCTCCCCGTGTTCCGGAGGCTCTCTGGAAGCTGGAAATAAGCCCGTTTCTTGCCTTTTTGAACTTTCAGGAAGGCCGTTTTTCACCCTCCTCGAACCTCCGCATGCCCCCTGCACTTACCTGCATCCAAAATGGGCCATGTGGGGACTCCTGGGAGGGGAGGTGGTGGGCGGGGCCAGCCAGGAATGGGATTTGGGGGTTCTCCAAACTGCAGAATCTAAGCTAGAGGCTCTTCTGAACCCCCAGCAGCCCAGACCTGCCTATCCCTATCCCGCAACCGGTCGTAAGTGGAGAGCTAGCTGTATTGTAGCTGCCCAGAATAGCCTCAATAGTGAGATGGACGGCACATAAAGGTAATCAATCAATCAATCAGAATATTTCTGGAGAATGAAGACAAGCGACGGAGCAGCTGGCCAGTGTGAGGGGGGCCCATGGCCGGAGTGGGCGCCCTCGCAAGCCGGCAAGATTGCTGTAATTTGGCCCTCGTGTCGCTGTATAGTCTGTTGCGGGGAAGCCTGCTTCCTCCCCCCCCCCCAAGCGCTAAGTTAAAAGATGCAGCTGTTGTGTACTATATATGCATGTGTGTGTATATGCGCAAGAGTGTGAGAGAGTGAATGAGGGTGTGCATTTTGGATAGTGTGCAAAGAGAAGCTGAAACTCGTCAACGCCACTTGGGTAGTCCAAGAACTCCAAAAGTTGGCTCCAACTGGGGAGGCCCCGGATTGACACACAACGTTGCGTTGCCAAGAGTTGCCATTAAGGGCAAGGATCGAAAAGGTGTAATGGACGTTTCTTATGGCGGGCGAGAAACTAGATCTTGGCAAAGGAGGACCTTAGGTGAAGCAGCCAAACCGGGCACGGTCTATCCAAGCACACTTTTGAGGCCGGGAGAGGAGAAAAGATTGCGGGATTGCCAACTTTAAAGGGTTCCCCCCCCCCAACATCAATGTCACACTCAATTGCACGCCCACGTGTGAGAGCAAAGAAGCCCCATTGTTAGTCCCCCCCACCCCTTTGGATGCAGGGTAGACACACCAAAGGGCCCTTTTCTAATTGCAAACTGTTGTTTTGATCAAAGCGGTTTCAGGGATTTGAAAGGACAGGCGATCTGGCAGTCTGGGGAAAAAAAAAAAGGTGCTTTTCATTTCCCGAAAACGGGAAAATTGAAAGAAAAGCACGTACAAATTCTCTTTCCGAGGTTCAAAGTCCGCCAGTGGATACAAGGTGATTTATAGTCCGTGCTTAATTCTTCTCCTTTATTCCCTCTCTTTGGGCAGTCTAAGGTAGACTGCCCTGAGACATGGGGGCTCCATTTCCTTCCTTGAATAAACCTCTTTTAAGCAGCTCTTTCCTCACCAAGTGCCCAAACCAGAACGTGTGTGTGTGCCTGAGTGCCAGAAAACCGACGACCAGTTGGCTAGTGCGTGCATGCCTAGGTTTTGGTCATTTTGAGGGGTGTTTTCAGGCCATTTGGGGGGCATTTTCAGGCCATTTTGGGGGCCAAAATATGGCCTGAAAATGCCCCAGAAAACACCCTGAAAATGGCTTGAAAAACAGCCTGAAAATGGCCCAGAAAAAGGCCTGGAAAATGGCCAGAAAAAAGCCCAAAAAATGGCCTGAAAAACTGCTTGAAAACAGCCTGAAAACGGCCTGAAAATGGCCTGGCAAAAGGTTCGAAAAACAGCCTGAAAACGGCCCAAATTTCTGATTTTTGGGCCATTTTCTGGAGGTCTGGTGTGAAGAAACCAGCAGAGCAGCTGGCCACGGCGTCCGTGCCCACTGAGAGGGCTCTGCGTGCCACCTCTAGCACGTGTGGTTTACCATCACGGAAATAGACATTCATTTTATTATTAAATAAATAAATATTATTAGCTTATTGCTTGCCGCCCACCTCGCCTCAGAATATGACACTTTATCAAAGTGCAGGTAGTTTCAACTGATGACCACAGTTGAGCCCAACATTTCGGTTGCTAAGTGAAACATTAAGGGAATTTTCTCCCCATTTTATGACCTTTCTTTGCCACAGTTGCTAAGTGAATCTCCGCAGTTGTTAAGTTAGCAACACGATTGTTAAGCAAACCTGGTTTCCTCATTGATTTTGCTTGTCAGAAGGTCACAAAAGGGGATCATGTGACCCCAGGACACGGCAACCGTCATAAATATGAGTCAGTTGCCAAGCATCTGAATTTTGATCACCTGACCAGGGGGATGCTGCAGTGGTCGTAAGTGTGAAAAACGATCATACGTCACTGTTTTCAGTGCTGTAACTTTGAATGGTCGCTAAATGAACTGTTGTAAGTCGAGGATTACCTGTATGAGTGAATAGGTAGGTATTGATGCTAATTTAGGGTGATATTTGCCCCACTCTGCTCCCCTCGAAAAAGTCGTTCTTGTAACTGCAATGTTGGGCAAATGGCATTACAGGTGGTCCTCAACTTACAACAGTTCATTTAGTGACCGTTCAAAGTTACAGCGGCGCTGACAAAGGTGACTTATGAGCATTTTTCACACTTCCACATGGTCACATGATTTACTGGTACATGCAGATGCTTGACAACTAACTCACATTTATGACTGTTTCTGTGTCCTGGGGTCCTGTGATCCCCTTTTGCAACCTTCTGACAAGCAAAGTCAATGTGGAAACTTAACAACCGTAGTGATTCACTTAACAACTGTGGCGAGAAGAATAGTAAATTGGGGCAAATACTCACTTAACAGATTTCTCACTTAGCAACAGAAATTTTGGGCTCAATTGTGGTCCTAAGTCGAGGACTACCTGTGTTTCTTTTCTTTCCTCTGACAACAGATAACAGATAATAAGAGTTGGAAGGGACCTTGTAAGTCATCTAGTCCAACCCCCTGCCCAAGTGGGAGACTCTATACCATTTCTGACAGATGGCAGTCCAGTCTCTTCTTGAAAGCTTCCAGTGATGAAGTTCCCACAACTTCTGAAGGCTTGTTCTGTTCCATGGGTTGATTGGTCTCACTGTCAGAAAATTCCTCCATATTTCTAGGCTGAATCTGTCCTTGTTCAGTTTCCATCCATTATTTCTTGTCTGGCCTACAGGCGATTGACCCCCTTCTCTCTGTGGCAGCCCCTCAAATATTTAGAAAATATTTAGAAAATAGCTTGACCCCCTCTCTCTCTGTGGCAGCCCCTCAAATATTGGCAGACTGCTCTCCTGTCTCCCCTGGTCCTTCTCTTCACTAGACTAGCCAGGCCCAGTTCCTGTAACCGTTCTTCATATGTTTTGGTCTCCAGTCCCCTCATCATCCTGGTTGCTCTTCTCTGCACTTTTTCTAGAGTCTCAACATCTTTTTATAATGTGGTGACCAAAACTGGATGCAGGACTCTAGGTGTGGCCTTACCAAGGCTTTATAGAGTGGTATTAGTACCTCACTTGATCTCAATTGTATCCCTCTGTTAATGCAAGGAATCCTATCTCCCCTTTTACACTGCAGGATGGATGTGCAAAGTTTGGTGCGCCGTTTTTACACCCTGCAGGCCGAGCGGGTAGAAGCTTACCGCCTCTTGGAGGAGTAAGTATTTGAATACGTTGTTTTTTTTCTCTAAAACTTTTGCCAGCCCTCCCCCCTTTTTTTGCATTCTGATGGGAGGGGGGCTTTGGTCATTTCAAATACAGGTAGTCCTTGACGTAAGGTCACAGTTGAGCCCAACATTTCTATTGCTAAGTGAAACCGTTGTTTAGTGAGTTTTACCCAATTGTACGGCTTTTCTTTGCCACGTTTGTTAAGTGAATCCCTGCAGTTGTCAAATTAGTAACACGGTTGTTAAGTGAATCTGGTTTCCCCTTTGACTTATCAAAAGGTCACGAAAAGGGATACTGTGAAGCCAAGGACACTGCAACCGTCATAAATATGAGTCAGTTGCCAAGCATCCAAATTTTGATCATGTGACAATGGGGACATTGCAACAGTCGTAAGTGTGGCAAACGGTCATAAGTCACTTTTTTCAGTGCCGTTGTAACTTCGAACGGTCACAAGACGAACTGTTGTTAAATTGAGGACTACCTGTATGAGGGAGAGCTAGTCTGGTGGAAAATCTCAGTACCTAGCTTTATAAAGAAGGAATGGGTCAGTCAGTCACCTAAGCCAGTTCTTTCCTGTCGTGGTTTCTGGAATTTTCTACTTTATTTCTAATTTTAAGACATAAGATAAATGAACGGATAGAGTTGAAACACCAGCTGAGTTCACAAAAGCCATCACACTCTGATCCATTTGCAAGATTCGCTTTTCTCGCCATGTACATACACATATCAACAGTGGGATTCAGAAATGTTTACTACCGGTTCTGTGGGAGTGGCTTGGTGGGCGTGATGTGGCTTGGCAGGGTAAGGATACTGCAAAATCCCCATTCCCTGCCCAACCACTAACCTGCTTTCCAGCTCCGTTCTCCTGTGCAGGGCAACCAAAGGAGACCCAGCCAATCAGCTGGGACTCAATGGGAGGCGGAGAATAGATGGGGGCGGAGCCAGTCAGAGGCGGTATTTGCTGGTTCTCCGAACTACTCAAAATTTCTGCTACCGGTTCTCCAGAACTGGTCAGAACCTGCTGAATACCACCTCTGGTACACATCCAAACTAGACTGTATTGTATCTCTGTGTCATATAATATATGTGGGTATATGCATAATTGTGTATTTATTTATTTATTCTGTCATGTTGAAGTATTGGAGGTGGTGACCCTTGGAGAGCTGCATGCAACGAAATTTCATTTTAATGCCAATCAGTGTACATTCAAAGTGACAGTAAAATTATTCTAAGTCTTCTAATCTAAGTTATTCTATCCAGGATAATGGAACACAATTGCTGTATTCAGATGGTAGGACTCAAGGACTACAAGTATTTCTCGAATTATGGCCACCGTTGAGACCAGAATTTCCACTGTTAAGTGAATTGCATCCAATTTTACTTTCTACGGTGGTCATTAAGTGAATCACTGCAGTTGTAAAGTGAATCACACAGTCGTTAAGCAAGTCTGGCTTCCTCCACTAACTTGGCTTGTTGGAAGCTAGCTAGGAAGGCCGCAAATGAAGAACTGATGACCCCGGGATGCTGCAGCCATCATAAATGCAGGCTAATTGCCCAAATTTTGATCAAGTGAGGATGCTGCAATGGTCATAAGTGTGAGAACCAGTCATAAGTCACTTCAGTGCCGTTGTAGCTTTGAACGGTGACTAAGTAAATAGTTGTAAGTCGAGGACTACCTACCTCTGCAATAGGAAGCCTTACGGGTTTCCTATTTAAGCATATTGTTGGAAAAATTCTGGCCATAAATAGCCCTGGGAAGGTCTGTCGTTACTTTGAACTGTCACTAAGCGATCAGTCGTAAGTCAAGGACTACCTGCAACCAGGACTTGTGGCACTTCCAAAATGTCCAAAGGAGGTAGCTGATTGTCTTTGAAACAGTTATTTCTACCAATAAAGGAGAGCATTTGTAATTCGGGATTGACATGAGGGGTCCTTGGTGCTCTCTGAGCTTGGTTGTTTTCTTGCAGACGTTTCATGACCCAAGTAGGTAACATCATCAGTGCTAGTAAAGGAAGGGGGTTTCTGCAAGAAAACAACCAAGCTCAGAGACCGCCAAGGACCCCTCAATTTTACTTGTCTTAACACAATTACATGAATGGATCTCTGGAGATTTTCCAGAAGAGACTGGACAGCCATTTGTCTGGAATAGTATGAGGTTTCCTGTTTGAGCAGGGGGTTGGACTAGAAGACCTCCAAATTCCCTTCCAACCTCTATGATTCTGTGTTCTAACCTTTTCCTTTGCAAAAAGCCAGGTCCTACTAATTGCTTTGCATGCATAAAAGGGACTGGGAAGCAGGTGGGCTATTCCAGTCCCCCCCCCCATTACACCCCTTTTATTTGCACACCACTCGATTCAAGAGGGCCCCTGCAGGAGGCCTCTCGACCTCCCCCCTTTTCACCCCCCCCCAGGCTCCCGGTGCCTGATGGAAACCAGATGAGCAAGGGGGCAGCACCCACCCAGCACCTGTGATCTATTTGCAGAGGGAAAAACTCCTTGTGGGGAGCCTGGTGTGCAGATAATTTACTCCTGCGGATGGGGAATCCAATCCCCGACGCAGCAAACCCCCCACAAGCAGGCTTTTGGGTGTCCCAGGAGATGGGGTGATAACCTTCTCTAGGCAGGGGTGTCTCCGGGAGGGCAGCCATTGACAAATCAATCAAGCCTTCCCGGAAAACCCAGCAGGGGAGAAAATAACTTTATCCAAGGTTAACGTAAGAGAGGGAGGGTCTTGGTTTGAAGGAGCATCCAGCATCTTTAATGAGAAGCCGAGCCTGTCAATCTGTGCATTTGATAGGGAAGGGGTCTCCAACTTTGACAAGTTTAAGACTTGTGGAGTTCAACTCCCAGAGTTCCTCAGCCAGCTGAGGAATTCTGGGAATTGAAGTCCACAAGCAAAAATGGCTGAGGAGTTCTGGG